CTTTAAATTTCTATATTTTGGCCGGGTTTTGAATTATAAGTTTTATCACCATAATTTCCTGCATAGTATTCACGGTTTTTGAAAGGCCCTGCATCAATTTTGTTTTTGATTTATTTACGTTGATTGTAGTAGCACCAAAAGTCGTTTTTTCACTTTATTTCACATATTTTTGAGAATTTTCAGGGAATTTTTTTTTTCAACCTAAAAAACAAAATTTTCATGTGTCAGCAAGAAAAAAAAATTTTCGTTTTAAATGAAACACCCTAATATATACAGGGTGGCCGATTTATCTGAAGAAATATTTCGAAAACTACGCATCGGATCAAAAAAAGTTTTGAATAAAATGTGTTCGCCTAGAAGGGGTCCATCCAATGATACCAAAGTGTACCCCTCACCCCCCACCCCCAGGAGTGGGGGTGGGGGCAACTTTAAAATTCTAAATAGGAACCCCCATTTTTTATTGCAGATTCGGATTTCCCATTAAAAAATTAACTTTTATGGAAAAACTTTTTTTAATTCCTGATAGATGGCGCTGTAATCGCAAGAAACCCAATATTTGGGAATATCTTAAAAAATTACACATCCGATCGAAAAAAAGAAAAACTTGTTTAATTTTTGGATTTTATTCGTATATCAATAAGTTAACATCTATTTTTAACGTTACCCAAGAACAAGGACCAGGACGCAGTAGTTTTTTGTTTCCATCGGGGTGCTAGTTTTAAGAAAGTCCCCCTGCCTCTCACTGTTTAATAAATTAGATTAAATGTTTGAAATTGTGACCTTGAACTTCTAGACACTTTTTCAAATGATTGTATACAGGAGAGGAGCATATCTGCAGAAATTTCAGCACAGGCGTTTCTTATGCGCTGTATCATGTATTCCCGAGTTGTTGGTGCTTGTTGAAAAACCTTATATTTTAGATAACCCCACAGAAAAAAATCCGGCGATGTCAAATCAGGTGACCTAGCAGGCCAATTAACCGGGCCACCTCTGCCGATCCATCGGCCATTGAAATCACGGTTCAATACTTCCCGTGCTGTTGCTGAGTAATGAGCTAGGCAACCGTCATGCTGAAACCACATAATGTGTCGAATGGGCAGGGCAACATCCTCAAGTAGAGGTGGTAGTTCATGTTCCAGGAAATTTCGATATTTGATTCCATTTAAGGTTCCATCAATGAAATAAGGACCAATGAGTTTGTTACCTAAAATTCCACACCAAACGTTAACCGACCAGGGACGTTCAACTTGTCATAACCAGTGGGGATTGTCCACGAAGAAATTGGGATTTCTTTGTATTTGCTGAACTGCCCATTCACAAAATTCTACTCGGCGATGAAAATCATTGCCATGAAGTTCCTGATGCAGTGAAACCCGGTATGGGTGATACTTGTGACGATTCAATATTCTCTGAATACTATCTCTGGAAATCCCGAGATCCTGATGTATTTCCCGAGTGCTTACATTTCATTAGCTTCTTTTGTGACAGTATTTCTTCGTTTTCTTTTTTTTAAGTTGTACACTACCGTCGGATTTAAAGGATTGAACAACTTTATAAAAAAACGAGCGTGAACGAATATTATCTTTAAAACGTTTAGCATATAAGGCAACAGCATCGTCAATATTCCGCCTACATTCTCCGAAAATTAGAATCATTTCAATTTTTTCTTCTACGGTTGCAGCATTCATTTCTCACTCGTACGTTTCTTTATCAGCTGCGAATGTTGCGCCTATAAAAACGGAACATATGTTTTTATAGACGCATAAGTAAGGTATAAATATGTTTTTATAACATACCTACATATGTACATACCTGGACGCATTAGTAAGGTATAAATATTTTTAATTTGTACCAACATCAAAAGGAATTCATCAATTTAATTTTTTTTGAATTTCCTAACAATTCTCGTATACACTAATTATATTTTTTAATGGGAAATCCGAATCTGCAAATTTTTCAAGATATTCCCAAAAATAGGGTTTCTTGCGATTACAGCGCCATCTATCAGGAATTAAAAAAAAGGTTTTCCATAAAAGTTACTTATTTTTTTAATGGGAAATCCGAATCTGCAATAAAAAATGGGGGTTCCTATTTAGAATTTTAAAGTTGCCCCCACCCCCACCCCAGGGGGTGGTGGTGAGGGGTCGACTTTTCGAAATATTTCAATGTCTTCAGATAAATCGGCCACCCTGTATATATATATATGCTGGGTGCTTCAGAAAAATAAAATTTAATTTTTTTTTCGCTCTTACCCTCTCAAATGTTTCTATTTAATATAAAAAAAATCCTCACCAAATATGGGCGATCCAGCTCAACTCTATAGGTCGCTGTTTTTATTTTAGTTTCCCATTTAATTAACATCCATGGGAAAGAATAATTCTATGTTTGGAATTTTATACCTCTGTATTAAAGTAACTTATGGATTTAATCGAAAATAATTTTTCTGAGCCTGTAGAGCGAGAAAAAGGATGGTACAATTTTGGAAAATTTTTCATGTGCTCATTTTTTGGGCACCCCATTTTGCCCCCCCCCCCGCTGCCTTTTTTTGCCCCCTTTCACCTCCTGTCTGCTACCATAAAATTAAAAAAAAAAACAGAAAATTTGATGTTATCAAACTTTGACCTCAAATAACTCTAGAACAAATCAATTTATAAGAGTCGAAGAGTGATCTTTTTCTTTGTACTGGGGATTTTAATATTAATTTGTTTAATGTTAATAAATTATACGTTGAACAATTTGCTAATATATTAGATACTTATAACTTTTCCCAGCTAATTCATGAACCCATCTGGGGGCAATCACTTTTTGATCTTATAATGTGTTCAAATAAAGAATTTGTTAAAAGTGGTAAAGTAAGTGATAATGGTGAAATATCAGATAATTTATGGGTAGAGTGTCAGTTAAATATAAAACAAGACGTACCTATACCATTTATAAAAACTTATAGGGACTTTAAAAATTTTGATTTAGAAAGTTTTAACCAGTAACCGGTACTGTGGTGAGAAATACATTAAATTGAGATTTTAAAATAAGTAAAATGAAGTATGAAAATGTTATCAAATGTTAATTTCTGAATTTCAATTGACATATTCTGAATTACAATTGTTACTGTCTGAATACTATTTGTAATTTCTGAATATCAATTGCTACTGTCTGAATATCATTTGCAATATCTGAATTACATCAGCTACTTTCTGAATATCATTTGAAATATCTGAATAACATTTGCTATTTTCTGAATTTCATTTGCAATATCTGAAAATCAATTGCTGCTTTCTGAATATCAATTGCTACTTTCTGAATATCAACTGGAAAAGGTGTAGTAGAAAATGCCGTAAACCAAAAATCTCAAAATTGTTGGTTACGGCGTTTTCATTAAGCACGGCAGAACTGTACTGTAGTGGTTTTTTTAAATCGACAGCGATACCTATAAGTGATATAGATGACTGTAGTATACTACATAACCATTATAGTGATTATGTCGTTAAAGATAATCACAGCAGCGATTCAGGACTTGTCTGTGAAGATTCTATAGAAAATAATTTTATAGGATCAGATAGTGAAGAATTTGAAATTTTTTAATAATTTGAAAAAAACAAAAAAGATACTATGGAAAAAAAAATTGTAAAAATCAGCTAAAGTTTGAAGCAGTTATTTTTGATGTTAAAAAAAGATATATTAGAATTTTTTTTGTTTATGTTATTTTTTAAGGTATATTTTTCGAAATAAAGATCGTTTTATTTTGTTTGGTTTAATATTTTTTATAGTTTAATCACAAAGTTTGCACTACTGCACTTTTTGTACATGTTTTGATAAAAACCTATTTGTTCAAATTTTTCTTTTAATTAGGTATTATTTTTGGTGATATTCTAACTTTATATATAGTTCCTAGTATCCCCAAAACCTCAGATCAAAAAAATAATATAAATAATAATTTTAAAAGGTAGGTGTCTCTCAGACCCCTTAGTACCGTTTATGACCTGAAAGTCGTACCGTACCGGTTACGGGTTAATGAAGAATTATAATTATTATCTTTTAAAAGAATTTATAATGTTGAAAATTTAAATGATAAAGTAAATATATTAAATCAATTAATAATATATATAATGGCACCATTAAAGACAATAAAAATCACTAAAAAAGGCTCCATGGGTCACAAATAATATACAAAATTTAATGAAAATGAGGGACAAAGCATTAACAAAGTTTAAAAGAACAAAACTGCAAAAAGATTGGGAATACTACAAAGAACTAAGAAACTTTACAAATAGAGCTGATTCCAATGAAAAAAGGCATATTTAAACAACAGATTTTCCAAAAATGATGCTAAAACCAAATTTAAAATTCCAGATAACCTATCAGATCCAGAAAAACTAAATGAATATTATCTTAATATTATGCGCAGTAATCCTTAACCCAATGAGTTAACGATAAATAGTTTTTTTCAAAATAAAAGACTTGTTAAATATTAAATAAAAAGACTTAAAACTTACCATGTATAAGAAAACTTTTTAAGAGGCTTGATTTAATTTTTTTCTGCAAAAAAACGAACCCCCTTCCACTTCAGATGCTCTGTGTCTTCGAATCTGATAGCCGAAAGCGGCAAACAAGTTCAAACCCCTGCATAAACTAAAAATATTAGATTTTGTTTATCCGAAGGACTGATAGGTTTACTTTTAAATGTTTTAATAAACTCGCCATCAAACACTTTGTCTGTGAATCGCTTTTTCTGGAACTCCGGTGGCTCGAAAACTTATAACGGTGGACACTCGAAATTTTTACCCGAGTTTTTGTCCACAAGAGCTACTTTTCGACCATTTTGTCCATTTTTTGTTTCGATTTTTCAATCTAATTTTGATCGTTGATCAAATGGTTCACGAAGAGAAATTAAAGCAAAAGTTGCTTCGGGACGGTTAATCGTTTCTTATTAAAATGTAAAAGGAAATTGAGCAAACAAAAAACTAATCGAAGGGTTTAACTATGCAGTTTAACGTTCTAAAAGACATCCCATTGAATTAAAATATAATGGCCACCGGTCACATTTTTATTTTTTTAATTTTTACGACAAAAGGTAAAATCTGCAATTTATTGTAGAAAAGCGTTAATTACTCCCATAAGTGACCTGGCATTTGATTAAATTTTTCTACGCCCTTGCTGAGGAGAAGATATCTCTTGTACCTTAAGTAATAAAATTAGAGGAAAGTAAAACCAAAAATTTATTCTTTAGCAAATCCAAAAGCAAATGCGATGCCGCATACAAAAATTGGATGGATTTATTTTTATTTACATTTTTGTAGTATTGAATTTGCACACAAAAGCTATAGGTATTCTTTTTCTATGATGGCTTTTACCCACTCAGATGATTAGAGCTCTTACCTACGCCTTGGGCTGCAGAATGTCATCTTTGTGGGTAATAGCTGTCATTGCACACTTAGTTAAAATTAGTTAATATAATATTAATCTTAAATTCATTTATACATTACTTTTATATGAATTTTATTGAGATGGGTCTGAAACTCTACCAGAAAATAGGATCACATTATTAACTTCTATATAATACATAAAAGTCCTATTGGCATTAAATGTTATGGAAGGTAAAAAAATACCTTTACTTGCCACAATTACTAGAAAGGAATATTTTTAAGTTTTAATTATAAAAAAATTAATTTAACGTACGTACCTGCCGTGGCCGCTCCAGCTTCAGTTCCAACTTCAGTTACATTTATAAAAGTTTTTTGCACTAGATTGGTAACTACTAGTTGTCCCTTTTCGCCAGCCATACCACTTAGATCGGCACTTTTTTGTTCAAATAAATCTTTAACTCCCAACTAAAACAAAATGAATTAAAAATGTCAAAATGAATATTTGGAAAATTACTTCTTGCAAAATAGGTCTTAATTCAGTGGAAGTTTCCATCGAGAATTTCGGCAAAATTACTTTTACTACCTCTTCAGAAAATATTCCTCTTTGAAAAATAGCACTTACATCTATAGAGTCTAAATCCGTTTTAGGTAAAATAACTACCATAAAAACGTTTGTATTATTTTCTTGTATGTATGGCAACCTTATAAATTGAGCCCTTTCGGTTTCTTTGTACTTAAACTTACCAACATGTTTCATAAAAGGTACTTGAACAACACTTCCTGACATAGTAGTAAAACCCCCAATTCTTGTTTTTCCAACTTTAAAAGGCTGAGCCCATTTACCAAGAAAATAAAGAGTATTTACCAGTATAACACTGGTTAGGGCATTAAGGTTATTTGGGCTTATTAAATTTTGAATTTTGTCATAAGTATGTTCTTCTACCCATTTGTTTATAACATTTACTGCATAAGTTTTGTCAGTAAAGTTAATATTTTGAATATCAGCAAAGTATACCTGGCGGGCAATATCTTGATATTCTTCTTTTAAAGGATTCTGGTCCTGCACATAGATTGTATTTGCTGAAAGCAGTTTTAGAACTTCTAAATTTATGTTGAGTGATTTTAAAAGAATTTTGTATTCTCTGTGGCGAGTGCTCATATTTTTTGGTATACCTACAGCACTTGTAAGCTGATCAAATGTTTCACCTTTGGTACCTTCACTTGTTAAAGCTAACACCACTTGGATAGAAAAGGGGCTTACAAGAAAGTTATTTTTGTCTTGATTATTAAGAACCTGTAATTATAATTAACATATATTTTAAATTGTTTTATTATGTAATATGATATTACTAATATCCTACCTTAAATATGTTTGTTGAAAAAATACCATTTCCGTCAGCAAGTTCTGTTTGTGCATTAATTTTACATAAAATCAATGCCATTGTAGAAAATAAAAGTAATAATTTTAATAACATAATGACAAATAAATTATGCTGTTGTATAGTTTTGCTTTAATAACGCAAATGTGTTTTGAAATGTTGCAATGTTTAATTTATACGTTAAATTGTAGTCGTTTTTTATATTTTTTTATTTGTGCAATTTCCCATTTTTTATAAATACGCTAATGATATACATATTTTAGTTTTTGAAATACTATAAATAAATAAATAAATAAAATACAAGGGTCTTCCAAAAATAATGTAAACTATAATACAAAAAAATTAAAAGAAATTTAGAATTTTTTATTATAATTTATTTAAAATCGCATTAATATTTATAACTTCACCTATAAAGTGCCTATACAGGTTGTCCCAGAACTCGCGCAACAGAGAAGAAGGGGGCGTGCCGATAGCAATGGAGATGGGTCATTCCACGTTACTCGGGGATTTTTGTCCCGCCCGTCACAATTAAAAATTGTGAGTAAAAACTACAAGTTATAAAATTTATTTAAAAATATTGTTTTATTATGCATTTAATAAGTTATAAGCACAATAAAAATAATATTATAAAATATTAATTTTATAACTTGTGGTTTTTACTCACAATTTTTAATTGTGACGGGCGGGACAAAAATTACCGAGTAACGTGGAATGCCCCAGATGCCAAATTTAAAAATAAAAAATTTCTAGGTATTGGTGTAATCAAATGAGAGCAAAAAAGCGGCCTTAAACGTAGAAGCTTTAAAAAAATTGCTAGAACATTCTTGTCTTAAAACTTTAAAAAATCTTTTGTCCGACTGTATTTACTAACCTTTCAAAAAGGAATGTCATACTTCAGCACGCCAATGTTTTAAAGTAAAAATTAAACAACTACTTCTGTACCCCAGAGACAAAATCTCTGGGAACCACTACAGAATTCCACTCTGGCGGGATTATCTTTTGGCTGCAGGCGCTACCCTCGCGTAAAATGAACGTCCTTCATAACCTGCTGAACTATTAATGGTAAATTCGCCTGCAACTTCCCTTATGCTCTTCCTAATATTTGCATCAAAGGCATTAAAAATAGCTTCTTTATTTTCCGGTGTTCTAATACGTTAAGGAGTACCTTCAATTTCGTTGCAATGCAGAACAACTTTACAGTTCAGGGGACGATCGGAAAAGCGCTGGGAAAAAACTCGTGCTGTCTCCATAGCATTGCGCCCATTCTCCCCATAAATATTTATCATTTCGCCATAATCAGAGGAGGATAACATAACTTAAAATGATAAATGATGACAGGAACAAAAAGACAGCAGTGTTACAATGAAGTGGATTCCAGTCGACCAAATATTTCACATATTTAAAATATTAACAATGCACCCTAAGTATCCTAGCAATTTAATTGGGATTGGCTATCGTTTTTTATTATTATCTCGCTTATCCTTTGCGTTAGATAATTTTAATTTTCAAGTATATATTTTGCATAACTTTCTCTGTGGCGCGACACCCTGTATATTAATAAAGAGTCAAAAATAAAAACAGATTTCGATTAACACTGAGAAAATGCAAAAAAAACATTTTGTATCAGAAATTCTGGCACCTAATTAAGTTTCGCTTCAAATGCAAGCGTTAACTGGTAAATAAGAATCAATTTAAAAGAAAAATATTTTATTTTAAATTATTGGAAAGTATAGTTTTTATTTACTTGAAAATACTTTATAAAAGAGCGTCGTCTAACATTTCTTTCCAGGAACGCAAACTACCTTCAAAGTCGAAGATTGACGAAACGCTGTTAACACTTCGTTAACCTCCGACTCGAGCATCTTCCTTTCATTGTAAGGTTTTTTATTTTTGTTACTACTAACTCATGTTCCAAAGCATTTGCCAGAAACAAAAGCATCAATGGACATTGACGCTCTTTGAAATGTGTAACTGTAACGTATTTATAAGAGTTCCAAATGTTGTGTTAGTTAACGCTTTTTTCTGTATGTCTCATATGTTGAAACACATGTTCATTTAAAATAAGTACATCACTAGTTTCACTATTACATAAAATCTTGAATTTTATCATTCGTTTTGTCGTTTATTCATTAATTTATAAAATTTGCTACATTCTTGCTGTCTTAAAGTTGATATTATAAATTTTAGTCAAGTAAAATTGTAGTGTCATATTTTTAAAAGTGGGTTTTAATATACCACCAATTTATGAATTATTTTGAAGTATCATTACTAGATTTCCAAGTTTTGTTATGTTTAATATTAATTTTTTCATGGTAAAGATTTTAAAATCATGTTTTTAAATGTTACTTATAAATAAAAATAATATTTAAATTTAAATTTATTAAACTGGTCGACCGTCACAGTCCTTAATATTTTTTTATGAATGATTGATAGCTTCTTTACAGAACTATTTAGGCCTCTTATACAAAAAATCATAATTGTTGGTTTGTCTGAATTTCAATGTCCCACTTAAGAGATTACCACACTTGTAAAATTCGCATTTTTAACCTATTTTCGTAAACTTTTTTGTTGAATAGATCCCTAAAAATATAAATGAATATGTTGTAAATTAATTTAAAATAAAGAAAAAACCAACTGTTCTCATTTTCAACTAAACAATCCTTAATAGAAAGTTCAAGTAGAATAAGCCTAAATGGCAAAAATATTAAGTTATCTATCAATATAAAATTTCTTGCAATAACTACATGTGACCTTGAGATGGAGTGAGCATATAAATCAATTGTGTTCAAAACTGAATAAAATTCTATGTGCTACTCGAGTTATTGGGAAATACTTGGATTACTCAATACGTATACTCTATAGAGTTTTATATTTTGCTAACTTTCACTCAGTGATAAAGTACTGCCTTATATTTTCTAAACAAGGTAATGAGTCAGAAACCAGAAAATAAAATTTAATCCAAAAAAGGATAATAGGGTCATTTTTAAATTTACCATATGCTCGGAGTTTTAGAGGTCATTTTAAAAGGCGTAATATTTTTACCTTGTATGGAACCTACATTTATGAAGTTCTTTTATTTTTTAAATCAAACAATCGTCAAATTCTAAGAAGTAAGGATTTTTTGTATCCGAGGCATGGGCTTGCTTTTTTTTAGAAAGGCTGCTACTATTCATTCCTATTTTTCTTTAACCACTTGCCTCAAAATATAAAAGTTTCATTACATTTAAAATCTTTAAAAAACTTTTATAATTATTAATTATATTTTAGAAAAACATATTAATCTATAAATTGAACAGTTTTTTGGAATAATTAAGTAATTTAGATTCCAACAAAAGAGCATTTAAATTGTCATTAATTTGAATGTTGGCATCCTGAATAACTTCCGGGCAAAAAGATTTGTACACCTACGTGTCATCTATATATAAATGGTAATTTGAATTTTTTATTAATTTTACTAATTCACTTGTATAAACAGTAAATAATAATGGTCCCAAAATGGAACCCTGAGGGACACCGCAGATGATATCACCTAGCGTAGAAATCTCATTACCAAGTTTGACCAATTGTTTACGATTTTTAAATAACATTCTAATAGTCTTGTTGCTCCCATATTAAACCCTATATAATGTAGCATAGATAAAAGCAGACCATGATTAACTCTATTCATAAGAAAGAATTGTAGGCTTACCAACGCAGTATATAAGCTCAGGTAGTCCTTTGTTTTGGGTGTGTTCCACTACACCAAGTTGCCCGACACTGATGAGGCCCAATATAGGTCGAAACAGCGGTCTGTCGGTATTTGAAGTTGGTGAAACGCATTTAAAACAAAAAACTTTGCCGAGGTGTAGGTTCAATTCTTTCTTAAAAAAGTAATATATTAGCCATATGGCTTACCTATTCTTTCTTCACAACAAAATTAAAAAATATGGGATTATGGTGTTTTCAGTGGACCCGGTTAAGAATCATTTTCGAAATTTTTAGTCGTTAAAACAAGTGACATATACTGTTAAAGGGAATCCATCCAAAAAAAAGGTTGACGAAAATTAGTTATAAAATGCAAATTTTACGAGGGTGGTTAAATGGGATACTAACCGGGGGTATGTGTGTAATACACACTGTGTATGTGCGTGTCCCGACCTTCACACTGAAACAGACATGAATTTAACACCATATGCCAAAACAGGTAATTTTTAGGTTGCTATATTAGAAAACATTCAATAGGCCCAAATTTACATTTATAATTTAAGAATCATTAAAAATTCAAAAGTGAGTTCAAAAATTACTGACCGTCACTGTCGTAATTTTTGTAGTTTAACCCTATATAGTCTAAGATCCCAAGTAAGGTCGACCTTCACCCATCTGCTTACCAGATGAAAATTAAATTTTATCAAATAAAATATGTTTCTGAACATAAACCAATAGGGTTGCCATAAAAAATATGATCATGGCTAGCTATAATAAATAAAAAATTAAAAAAATAATTTATTTTTTAAATTTCACCGACTTGCTTGCCAAATGAACGAAATTCCAATGAAAAGCATAAAACATACAGAATATGTAACAACTAGGTTACCTACCTTTTTCTGGTCCCTATTACCTGGTTGCTTTGTACAGGGTGATCTCTATAATGTCGCCCCCTTTAACTTTTTTATTTTAAGTGTCCCAAAAAATTTAAAAGTGTGGTTATGTAGGAACTAAAAAATACTTTTTTTCTACGTATAAAGAAAATTGGAAAATTGATCAGTATACACTGTATACAGGGAAAACAAAAAGTTTATTTTTTTCAATGGATCACCCTATATATGAATTTATTTTTCGATTCCTTGTAAAATTCTAAGCATATTTCATATATCATACCATATACCTAAATTCAACTGTTTCTGAAATATTTAAATTATTTTTAAGATAATAAGTTGAAATAGTTTGTTTTTCTCTGTCTGAGTACGCCATTTTTACTTATTTAACAACACTTATTGACATAATGTCACTATAGTAATTTATTTTCAATAAAAATTTTGGTATACTGAGGCTTCTTGATTTCTAACAGTTTAAAAAAACATTTAATGATGACATTTCGAATGCGAATATTTCAGAAACAGTTGAATTTAGGTATATGGTTTGTTATATAAATTATGCTTAGAATTTTACAAGGAATCTAAAAATAAATTCATATATACGGTGATCCATTGAAAAAAAATAAACTTTTTGTTTTTCCCTGTATACTGATCAATTTTCCAATTTTCTTTATACGTAGAAAAAAAGTATTTTTTAGTACCTACATAACCAAACTTTTAAATTTTTTTGGACACTTAAAATAAAAAAGTTAAAGGGGGGCGACATTATAGGGGATCACCCTGTACAAAGCAAACAGGTAATAGGGACCAGAAAAAGGTAGGCAACCTAGCTGTTACATATTCTGTATGTTGTATGCTTTCCATTGGAATTTCGTTCATTTAGCAAGCAAGTCGGTGAAATTTAAAAAATTAATTATTTTTTTTTAATTTTGTATTTATTATAGCTAGCCTTGATCATATTTTTTATGGCAACCCTATTGGTTTATGTTCAGAAACATATTTTATTTGATAAAATATAATTTTCATCTGGTAAGCAGATGGGTGAAGGTCGACCTTACTTGGGATCCTCTACTAATAGGCCGTATGCAGAAACGTTGATTTATTTATATAAACTGACTTACGCATATCCACTGTTTTAAGTTTGAAGCAATTTGCAACAAAGCAAATTTTAAATGACAGTAAAGATTTGTAGGTTATTTTACATAAACTTAAATAGGTATGTGTTTATTACATTCTGCATACCGAAATAAATATGCCTTTAAAAAGTAAACGACTGCTAATTGACATTTTAGACGAAAATGAGTTATTTTTATCAGCGAAATTTTATGTAAATATGAAAAAAAAATTATTTTGAAGGGTCAGATACTCTACCAGAAAACAAAATAATAATATTATACTTTATATAATAGGTGGTGGAAGCTAAGCAGCACTACCAATGACTAAAAAAGTTATATAAAATTGGGACAACGTTTACTAATAATTAATTAGTAATTATAACTAACAATAGGAAAGTAATAATTTAAAAGGCTGCATTTTAAACAAAAAATTTATTATATGTTTATTTTTAAATAAATTAGTAAATAAAACGTTTTTTTTTCATTTTGGTTTAAATAAATTTAAAAATAATTAATTGGTATAAAAATATTTTACTTATAGATATCATAATAATAAAAATTGTGTAGGTGTAAAAATTGGTTAAGGAGGGTTAAAAATACGAGATAATTTTGGTATAAAAGATAATAAAACTACGAATATTTTAAGATTTATTAAATTGGGGTATACCCTTTAGGCAAAAAGTTTCATGCTATCTGCATTAACAAAATATATTTTTAAGTTAAACAATATTACTTGAAATATTGCTAAACTAATAATAAAATAAAACATGGCATTCCAAATGAAAATGGTAAAATTTTGGAATGTTACGCAATTTTTGCATTAGTTTTTAATATAATAAATGTTTGTTTATATTATTTTGTAACTTAAATTTATATTATTCTACTAATTATGTAAAATAACGTAATCTTTTCATAGAATATATTATGTTTTACATATTATGTAGGTATACTTTGGCCTGTGCATTAGGTCTAAAGGAAATACAATTTTGTATATATTGTTCAGTGTATTTAAATATACTCCATATTATATAAACACTAATATAATTTTAACTTTATTTGTATCAAACGAATTTATTTTGAAGGGTCAGAAACTCTACCAGAAAACAAAATAATACTATTGTACTGTATATAATACATAAATGGTCTAGAGGCATCAAATGTAATAGGAGGAGGAAGTTGTACAGAAGTTGTTCCAACAATGACTAAAAAAGTTAATATTTACTCTATAAATTATACAAACTGTTAAATGTAACTCACCTCCGGTGGCAGCGGCAGCTTCAGTCCCACTTTCAGTTACATTTATAAAGGTTTTTTGAACAACTTTTGAAACTATCAATTGACCTTTGTTACCAGCCATACCACTAAGATCTGCAGTTTCTTTGTTAAATATATCCGTTACACCCAACTAATAACAAAACGACATGTAAGTTATTGGGTGGTTTCATTTCAAATCGTCTAGGTAAATAATAAGATAGATATTTTTAAAAATATAACAAAATGTTTTTTCGGTTTTGACCAAAAATATTAAAAATTTAGGTAAACCTAAACTCGAAAAATTTTGCATATTTTATACATTACTTTTCTAAAATAATAAACCTACAAACATTTTTTAAAATTGAACCATTTTCAGAAAACTCATCCTACCTAAACGATTTGATATGTATTACCTAATTTACTTACAGATTGTAGTATTGGTGTAAATTCAATTGAAGTTTGTATAGAAAATTTGGGCAAAATTACCCTGACCCGATTTTGAGTAAATGTAGGCCTTCTAAAAATAGATTGTACGTTCATACATCCCGATTTCCCTTGCTTGGGTAAAACAATTATCATTGAAACACTTTGATTCCCATCGTGCTGATATGGTAGTTCTATGAATTGAGCTATCTTGGTTTCTTTGTAGTTATAATTCCCATCGTTTGTCATAAAAGAGACAGACACGTTACTCCCTGATATCGTAGTAAAATCACCAATTGCGGTTTTTTTTACTTCAAATTTTTGAGTCCAGTTTCCAAGAAAGTAAAGAGCGTTAATAAGTACAACCCTAGTAAGGGCGCTAAGACTGTCTGAACTTATCAGATTTTGTATTTTGTTATTGGTATGCTCTTCAACCCACTGATTTATAACTTCAGCTGCATTTACATTTTCTGCGAAGTTAATATTTTTAATGTCAGAGTAGTAAACTTGGCGAGCAATATTTTGAAAAGCTTGCTTAATTGTAAAATTATTTTGCACATATATTTTATTGGCAGAAAGGAGTTTTAACAATTCAGAATCCTGATTAAATGATTGTAACAGTTGTTGATACGCCTGATGTCGTATGTTTGAATTTGTTGGTATACCAACACCCTTTGTTAGCTGATCAAATGATTCGCCAATACAACCTTCACTTGCTAAAGCTAGCACCACTTGAGCAGAAAAAGGGCTTACAAGGAAGTTTCCTTTTTCCGTACTTATGAGGCTCTTAAATATATTTGATTAGAAATTATTGTAAATTAATCTTAAAAACCAACCTTATAAACGTCCGTAGTAAATTTTGTATTTCCATTTATCAGTGCTTGCGTTTGGGCATTTGCGTTATAAAATAATAATGTAATTGTTAATAATAAAAATAAATTTAATTTCATTATTGCGTTAAACTATAACAATAACCTTAAAAATAATAATGAAATGTAGCGTAAAACATTTAAAAAATATATTTATATGCAAAATTATATTACTGTAAATACCATAATTTTTTTTGTAAAATATTCAATATTATCTTATCACTTGAATGCAAATTTCTGGTAAATCCTACATAATACATATGTGTTGTTATGATAGGAAATACAAATAAACTGTTTTTATTATACTTACTATACTTTTTATGAAAATGTTTTTTATGGTATTTACGTACAATCAAGAATTTAAAATTAAAGAGGGGCTTAAAAAAATTCAAATAAAATTTACCTTAAGGAGATCAGCTCAACCGTAGCCAAAAACTGCCTGCAAGGAGGGGTAATATGGCCCTTGCTGTGGTGCCTAGTGCTGAATGGGCTACTTCATATCCTACACGAGGAAGGTATAAACACTCAAGGCTACGCGGACGACCTCGTCATTGTCGTAGCAGGAAGGGTACCAAACACTATTAAATAGATCATGCAAAGAGCTCTTAATAAGGTCGAAAGGTTGTGCAACGATCACAGACTAGTCGGATAGCTATCCGTCAATCCGGATAAGACAGAAGTAGTACCATTCACCAACCGAAAAAAACGTGAACTTTGAAGGGCTCACGCTCTTTGGATCAAGACTGACCCTATCCAAATCAGTCACCTGGAAGGGACATGTCAACATTGTCGTCCAGAGGGCCACTTATAGCCTATGCAAGCCCACCTACAGGAAGAAGATGGACAAGCTCCAACGATTTGCCTGCATGGGCATAATTGGAGCTTTTAGAACCACTCCAACATTGGCAATGAAGGCCATACTGGGACTGTCGCCTCTACATCTCTTTGTGGAGGCACGGGCTCGGGAGGCCTCGAAAACTCTGGGCATGCAAGGGCCTGGACTGAGATTATCAACCGGGACCCCCTTCTCACAAGAAGGGATGCAATGCCAAAGACGTCTACCCCCCTCAAAAAATATGAAGTGGTTTTCCCTATCTAGAAACGACTGGAGCGAGCCTGACCCAGGCTTTCTCAAACCGGAAGGGCTCATCTGGTACACAGACGGGTCTCTAATGAAGAAAGGTGCAGAATAAGCCTTGCACTAGGTCGAGACCTGATATGCGCCCAAGATAATCTCCAGCATAAAAACCCTCAAATTACTCAGTGTGAGGTTAGGTAGATCTGACAGAATGTTTTGATTGGTCCAAACGCTTTTACAACCTAGGAGGCAAAAAAGTTTACCTAAAATTATAATTATCTGTACAGCCTAGGAGATAATCAATTGCTTAATAATAAAGTTTAAATTACACACCGTTTTAAGATAAAAGTATTTTACGTTGTTTCAAAATAAAAGTTTACAATTTTTCAATATTTAAAGTTTTGATGTTATGTCAAAAACTGTTTAAACTTAACTTTAGCTACCCATAACATTCATTGTTTTTAGATGTGTGATAAACTAGCTTATAAAAATTGTTCATTGAACATGCAGCGTTGCCGATTTAAATACTTATCTGCTCGAAAACCACTTGTCAGAAAGGATTTGTATTTTTTAATACTTTAAAATTCATTAAAAAAGTTAAGTCGATGTGCAGTTAGAATTTAAAAAATCGATTTTCGGGAGTTTTCTGTAAAAATTTTAAAGATACACTGAGAGAACTGCTTGGGAATAATATCCGAAAAATCAAGGACAGCTTGGGCTAGAAGCCGCAGTTACAATGCAAGGTCGCTGTCTTTTTTGAAACCCACTGCTTTAAACTTTTAATAAAAATATAGTCTTATATTAACTACACAGTGGCCGAGCGGTTTAGGCACATTGTTTACAAAAGAGACACAGATCGAATTATATGGGAATTCGACAAATGTTTTCATATAAAATTATAGAAAAATGTCCTGATACATTTATAAAAAATTAATCTCATAGCAAAATATAATACACAAATTGCCCAACTGTAATATATTATTACACTTATTATACTTAAAATAACCTTAAAAATATTAATCCTGTATTGTACTAAAAAATACATTTTTTATAAGAGTTCATTTCAAAATTCAACTTTTTTTGTTTAAGGTAATTATTATTTATCTTTTGTTTGCCCCATAGTGCACGTTTAACCCTTTGAAATAATTTTGGTTGCAGATCGGCGTATGGAAGTCATGGCAGAAAGAGGGTCTCGACATAAAGGACATAGTGTGGCCAGGCAACAGTCACACACCGCCACAGGGTGTGCCGGAAAAGTTCCATTTAAAAATTACATTTTTAGAGGAGCCGCCCTACATTAACCTGGCTCCTCCTGACCCAGTTACCGGAAAATGCTCCATGGATCGTGGCGTTCTATGCCGGATTGCCAGCGACTTGGACATACAAGAGTAAGTATGATTATTGCCAATTATTCCTTCTTTTTCTTCATAAATCTGAACACAGAAAACTGTGTGTGGGCCTTTAGTCTACTACTTAGTAAAGCTGTTTAATCAGCTCATTAATTATTCCTTCCTTACCTTTTAGGTACTATTTACATTTGGTTAGGTCGTGCTTTTCTGGCCTTTTGCTTATTTCAACTACTTTTACTTAACGTTAAAATATTTTAGCGAATTATTCTATAAAGCCTCCGTTCTTTTATTTATTTTAAATTGAAAATAGTAATGGTAAAGTACTGTTTATTTTATTATTAACGACATATCATTTGTATTTTATTTATAAATATTTAAATCTCGTACACGGATAAATAAAACATGTTACTGCAGTAACAATCGATGAGCAGAACAGTAATCCACTCAATAAACTATTGGAAATAATCTTTATTGTGCAGAATACTGCTCACTATAGTTTCTGGCACTTTTCATTTATGTGACATGTCAATATTGAAGTCGACGTTGACATTGTACATTAAGGGGATTAGTGATTAGTGGCCGTAATATGAAGTATGTGTCGGTCCGTACTCTCTTTTACTGAAGCATTGATAGAATAAAAATATATGCTTTCCATTTGACATTGAAATTATACGGTTTTAGTGTGACAATTGTAATGGGACCGATATATGGGGCAGTTAATTTTTAACATTTCTTAATTTACTATTTTAATGCTTTATAAAATATGACACTAGTTCTAAATATTTACCTTAAAATTGTATAAACTTTTTATTAGTAACTTAATATTTATACGCATGTTGCTAATACGCTAATTGTAGACATACATGTTGATGTCTTTAAGCATCATGATGCACTAGGGAGACTTACCAAAACCGCACGTATGTCTGAGGCGTATCGGTACATAGATTAGGTTCTTACGTTCCAAATGAACTATATCAATAGGTTTTTTAGTTTTGATAAAATAAACAATTTTAAAAATGAAAAGAAAGTGGGTATTTTGAAAAAGGTTACACAGTTACGTTTTGCTATTTGAAGGGACTAGTTGAATTCTTTAATTTTATAAGGGAGTGAATTTAACCAATAATACATTGATTTTATATAAATTCAGTTTTTGGGAAAGTGTAGGTTATTTAAATAGGTATGTATTTTCTATATTAAGTTATTATAATCTGAGTTCACAAATATCATATTGAGTGGGTAATTAATTAATATTTAATTTAAACTATATTTTATTATTATTATTTCAACTTGTTCTTTGTGAGAGAAGAAATAAGGTGAATTGTTTTATCTTTATGGTTGTGGTTGGACAACCAAATTAAAAATTTATTATAATCATAATTTTATGTTTTTAAAAAAATATTGTTTTTTTTTATTATAACAAACATATTTTATTGTAAAACAAGTATTTTTGATTTTGATAAAATATGATATGCCCGATAAATTAAAGATATATATTTATATTATTAATCTGTATAAATGTTCTAAATTAAGAGTCCTTGTAGTGGTCGTAGTATTTTTGCTTCCTGATTTTCGACCTTTTTAATTTAAATCTCTTAAACTTAATCCCATTTTTTTTGTTAATTTTATGTTCTACATCACCACAAATAGTTTTAATATTTTATTTTTAAGAATTGTCCCTTTTCCTATTTTTATTAAAACTATTTGATGTTAACATGATTGGTATGTAATTTGCGTCAGTACAATTATCTCTAAATTAGACTAGACTAAGGTAATAAACCTATCAGTGTGGATGTACTATATATGCAAATGGGGATAAGATTATAATGATTACGAATTTGGGAAAATATGCAAATGGATGTAAACATAACTATAAATTTCCGGTCGTACTACACGAAACATTTAAATAAAAACGTAATTTTTAATCGGCAAACCTACTTAGCACATTTATTCTGCCGCATGCATTAGGTGGAATTTTATAATGATATTTTATTGTTTAAAAAAATATGTATTTTATATTTATATATAGAATTCGCTACTAAAAATAACATAAAAAAAACTTTACTGTTCAAATATTTGTTTATTTATGAATACTATTCACGGTCAGCATTGCCAATGTCACTTTTCCAAATTCTACAAAAATCTCGTTCCGATTCACAACAAATTTCTCAAATAACTCATTAATTTAAGAAAAAAAAAATTATTTTACATTGATACATTTTGTCATATGTATGCAACCCCAATGTTTTAAAAAAATATCTATTTTATCATATTCGTTGTTAAAAATGTTAAAATACCCTCATTTACACCGCACAGTGCCAATCCCCAATTGAGGAGATTCCCCGTACTAGGAGTTCCCTACAAATTGGCCATCTGGTAATGGTGCCTGTTAAACCGACAATATTAAATATTAGAGATTAACCCATAAAAGTTTTAATAATATTTAATAATACAAGTTGTATTATACAACAAGTTTTGGTACTCACGTTTATTAAAAACAAATAAAATAAATTTAAGAAAACACTTAATAGTTTAGATTTTTAAATTGTGTCAGTTTTAAAATAAATAAATAATTACTTAAGCCTACTATTGCGAAAAGTGCTACTTTTCTACAGGCAACTTTTGTTGAACGAACGACGCGTAACGGGGTTCGGTGGTTTAATTTAAAATGCAAAAGTAAACTTAAACTGGTTTATTTACCAATGTAATTGGATACAAAATTTGGATTAATCGTCGGGATTTTTGCTTCACCCTGTATATTGTGTCTTAGTGGCAAGATTGTGGATACTTGGGAAATTTGAACCGCCCTGGCAGGTTTTTGAGTATCAATTTCTTTTTGCAGACTTTCAAACTCTCCTGCTTGCCCCATCAAATCTTTAACCGACTTGGCATTGGCGCGTCGGATGTATTGACGATATTCCGACCGTAGGTTTTTATACAGGGTGTACAACTTCCTCTGAGGTGTATTTTCCATGTCGTCGTATAAGTGACTGGATGTCAATCATGTACTCTCGAAATCTTTCCTTGGGACGCTGTTTTCTTTGAGAGATTTCTTCGAGTAGGTCCTCGGTATACCTACTGGGAAAATAAGTTTGCTTAAAATCCTCTACAAAATCATCCCATTCTTCCCAGCCAGCTTTCCAGTTTCTATACCACAATAGGGCAATGCCCCTTAACAGTTCTGGTAATGCTCTCAGTAAGTTTTCCTCTTCAAAATCATAGTATATTTTAAGCTTTTGAATTCTTTCGAGGAATGAAACTGCATTAGTATTGCCATCAAAGTGTACATTCCACTTTCTAACCTGGTCAGACCTTTCGATCATCTTGTGGTGTACCTAAAATTGACGCTTCCCAAAGTGGTATATTAGCTGGTGCTTCTTTCTCTTCGGTGACATGATTTCGCACTCGTAAACGTAAATCGTTTACTGTGCCGGATGTTTCCAAACCAAAACCCTTACAAACATCCACTAAACCTTCCTTACGCAGGGTGTATATCCAGCTTAGTCCTTGTTTTACCTCAGTGCCAGCTGTACCTTCTGTCGAAGAATTTCCAGCCTCTGCCTGAGGAGTGCTTTGGGTTTTAATTTGCTCTTCTGTTTTTTTTGACGGGCTGTGCTTTGTTTTTGGCATTTTAGAATGTAATAATTAAACCACCTTACTGATTCTCACGGGATTTTTGCAGGTTATGTTTTCTATGAAAACTTTTCAGGTTAGGTTACAGGAATTTTCAGAAAAACCCGGGTCCTAGTGCTCGGGCGCCAAATTTGTGTCGTACCTAGGCTGGTTATGGCCTTAAGTACTTCACCAAGGTTCCTCTCTGGTTGACTCTTCAGATATAGAGGAATACCTACCTCGGGTTGCTTTTATTCAGTAAAGAAAGTAGGGTTTATAAGAATCAGTTATTGTTGGTGGTTTAATTTAAAATGCAAAAGTAAACTTAAACTGGTTCATTTACCAATGTAAAAGTATGTACAAAATTATATTACAATTATATATACAGTATTTAAAAGTATCGTAGACCATGAACACAAAGGTTCTTTCATAGCCTTTAGTCAGGACAGGCAAATGTTCCAGGGCTTTTCACAGGCAACTGGCAGGCACGGGCGTAGTTTTCAGTCCTACAGAGAGACAGGGCAGATTTGCAATTGGACTCTAGTGGAAAAATACATTTTGTTAGTTTATGTTTTATGCATACAGGATTTACAGTTTAATTAACTCTGTTATTAAAGCTTAATATTATACGGCTTAAAGCCCTGTGATATTAAAAACAGGTTAACTTACTGTTAATATTCCACTGAGAGTTCTCTGTGATTTAGTGGTTGGTTTTCGGGCTCACAATTGGTAACACCATTTGGAATTGAGCCACCAGACGACTGATTGTCTATTGAACAATGCAGCGGTTTTATAGACAAATTTCTGATGACAGACTTGATGAAAAAGAATTGGGGCCGTGTGAAATAAATTCTTCACACGGGCCGTGTGCAACAAGTGTTGACAACATATATGCGGTTGACAGCTGTCCAAGCGCCATCAGAGTTCCGTCTAACTGCAGGTTTCTGGTAGTCCAACTCTTTCCTTGACGTCGGGTAGTTAGGAAAATCATTTCATTGATGTCGTAATGAGTATCATTTCAAACTTTCCGCACCATTTTGCAATATAAAAAAATTAATAAGTAAATTATTATATTATATTTTATGTTTTTTGTAAAGCAACTAAATTATATTTTTATAACTTAACAGGTGTGCCAAAAGACGTAATAATATTTTATCTGTTAAAGTTTTTAAGATTAAAGATTTACGACAAATCATGAATTTTATGTCCAAGGAACTAATCAGAATTTTGATTTATAGGGGCATAAGTCAATTTTGATATTTTGACCTCTAATTCAAACTTCTTTCAAATTATATGCAATTACTTTACAGACAAGATTATTTAAATTAAATAGTTTGGTTTTTCTACTTTCAACTTTATAACGCACATTATCGTACATGTTTTCATTAAACTAAGCGACTTACAAAAGTGCTATTTTAGTTCCACCCTTA